GCATATCTTAGAGAAGACCCATTCCTTCCTCCCTTCCTTCCTTCTTATTCCTCTTCCTCGACCTCTTCCCCCCCCCCCCCTCCCCCACCTACCTGGTGGTACCCTATAGGGTACCACCAGGTAGGTGGGGTGGGGTTTGGGGGGTGGGGGGAATTCACTACTATAGCAGTAAATCGCCGGCAGTTCTAGGAATGTAAAAGGGCTTCTAAATGCCCTTTTACTTTCGTTAGATCACGCCGTTTTTACGCTTTGAGCCATGTTCGAGCACACCTTTGGGTCTGCCGGCCGAGTACTGGCGACTGTCGCGCCGCGAGCACGGCCAGATGGCGGTCGGTCGGCGGCGGCCCCCGTGTGCAAGCTCGCCGAGACACCGCCGCCGGGGCATCGGTTTGTGCCGTCCGCGAGACGGTAACCTTTGAAAGGAGAGAAAGTATGTTGGGCGAGCCGGTTAGGAAAGGTCATAATATAAACCCCGAGGCACTGAGAGTTGTCTTGTCCATTATTTGATTTATCCTTGTGTTTGTTTGATATAGGGATCACATTAAAAATATCAAGCTTGAGAACTGCTTATTTAAAGAAAAATAAAATATTTTCAGAAGGATTGACTTGGAACGCCCACCCGAATCTATGACGTCGTTAACGAAATGGTGCAATCCTTGCCTTCTTTGATGGCTTAAAACAGGAAGTGTAGTTTAACGTTTTCTCTTTCCATCTTATCGTTCATGGGCACGCCCACGTGCCATTTGGCCAAACTGGAGACTTTCTTCGCGCTCTGACGACGCGTCACTTTTCAGTTCTTTTGCTTTTAGCAGAGTTAGTAGGACTAAAACGATTTTAAAAGGAAAGGAAGAAAACGACGTGTAGCAAGCCTTGGTGAGCGACGAGAAGGTAGATGTCAGAAAGGTTCTCCGTCAAGTTCTGCCGCAATACTACCAAACCCAAAAGTGCCGTGTTAGAGAAGTTTTCCAAAGGGTGAAGCACAAGTTAATGCGTGGTTAGTTGCAATCCTCGGCACTTTCAGGTTTTTGGGTTTTAGAGCGCAGCTCTTAGGCGCCCGTTTCCGGCTTGAGCGGCGTCGGCGTCGCCGTCGCCGACGCCGTCGGCGTAACCAAGGTCAACCCAAGGTCACGCGACCCCAGGACACGCGACCCCTCTCAAGGTCACCCCAAGGTCACGTGACCCCCAAGGTCACGTTACCCTCAGGTCACGTGACCCCAAGGCTCGTGACCCCCAAGGTCACGTGATCCCTCCCAAGGTCACGTGACCCCAAGGTCTCGTGACCCCCCGAGGTCACGTGACCCCCGAGATCACGTGGCCCCCAGGTCACGTGGCCCCCCTCCCCGAGGTCACGTGACCCCCTCCCCCCGAGGTCAGGTGACCCCCCCGGAGCATATTAAAAAGATTGATGGGAGGAGGAGGAGGAGGAGAAGGAGGAGGGGTCTACCCTCCCCTAAGTACCCTTCCCTCCTCCTCCTCAAGAGCTGCGCTCCGATTCGGCGTTACACGGAGTTGTAAACGGCTTTCACTTTTTGTCAACAAACAAGGAGTATGAGAAAAAAGTGAAAGCCGTTTACAAATCCCTGTAACGCCGAATTGGAGCGCAGCTCTTGAGGAGGAGGAGTGAAGGGTACTGAGGGGAGGGTAGACCCCTCCCCCTTCTCCTCCTCCTCCCCTCATTCTTTAATATGCTCCGGGGGGGGTGTCACGTGACTTCGGGGAGGGGGTCACGTGACCTCGGGGAGGCGTGACCTGGGGGTGACCTCAAGGCCACGTGACCCCAAAGGTGACCCCCACGTGACCTTGGGGTCACGTGACCTGGAGGGGTCACGTGACCTCGGGGGGTCACGTGACCTCAGAGGGGTCACGTGACCTCAGAGGGGTCACGTGACCTGGGGGTCACGTGGGGTCACGTGACCTTGAGATGACCTTGGAAGGGGTCACGTGACCTCGGGGGTCACGTGACCTTGGGGAGGCGACCACGTGACCTCGAGGGGACACGTGACCTCAGAGGGGTCACGTGACTTGGGGTCACGTGACCTTCGAAGGGTCACGTGGGGTCATCTTGGGGTCACGTGACCTTGAGATGACCTTGGAAGGGGTCACGTGACCTCGAGGGGTCACGTGACGTTCAGGGGGTCACGTGGGGTCACGTGACCTTGGGATGACCTTGGGAGAGGTCACGTGACCTTGGGAGGGGTCACGTGACCTTGGGGGTCACGTGACCTTGGGATGACCTTGGTTACGCCGACGGCGACGCCGACGCCGACGGCGACGCCGCTCAAGCCGGGAACGGGCCCCTAAGAGCTGCGCTCTAAAACCTCAATGTATCCAAATAGTAGGAAGTTGGATTCCGACCTTAACTGACACGTGCCGCCGTTCCGGCCAACGTTATTATATCAGAATTGGTTCCGACAAACGTTTTGTCCATATCATATTGAGAACATGAAGGAAAATTTCGAGGACACCTAAACACTTCTTACGAGTTGTGAATGCGAAAGCATGAATGCCGTTTCTTCGCGCCACGGCCGCTTCTGATCCTCTCGGCAGGGGCCGGAGCGCCGTGGAGTGTGGGGTGGCGTTCCTTGGAACTATGCCGTGCGCGAGCCAATGAAAGGTTATCCCTCAAACCGTTGCTACAGACTACAAGCTTCGCTCCAAAAAATAGGGGAGTTTAGGTGCCGTTTGGGGTGGCTTCAAAAGCTGATATCGCCGGTTCGCTGCATGGGGCAGTTAACGCTTTCGCATTCAAAGCTAGGAGACGGACGATGTTTCGTCATTAACATCTTTGTCTTTGATTTGTATTTTTTTAAGTCAGTCGTGCAGCGCCGTTATCTGCGTCGGAAAAAGAAGCGTATTTTAGGAATGACAATAATAGCTATTACAGACATGCAGCCTGCGACAATTCATGACGTTCTTAAAAATGCTTTCGCCAATTACATCACAAAATCTAAACAGAATCGAGGAGTAGCTCGAATTAAGGGAGGAAGGAGTACATGAACTTTGACGGACTCTTTGGCGATAATTTGTTTTTGTTTGTTTCGCCACGAGCTTTCGAAGTGTTTGAAACGGTAAAATAAATATCGATCTAGAAATTCCCAGTGGCATTTGAAACCAAAACCTTCTTAACAGGCAGTTTGGGAAAATTATGTAGTTAACATTTTAAGGTTGTTAACACAAAACGTGTTCTATAAACCGATTTTCAATATTTTATTTATCTTTAGTGCATCACAAACAGTTCTTGCTTTTTTAGTGGTGCATTGAAAAGTATTACATCCACTCCACAAAACAAAGGTCTACAATTCAGGCAAAAACAAAGACAAAAAACTTTAAAGCCCTCCCGCAATTTTGTTTCGGGTCCAAAAATGTCCTTACCAAGATTACCCGAGCTAGATTCAAATTTGTTAAAAAACAGTTGCGAACGAGTCACGAAATCGGCTTCGTACAAAAGAAAAGTATATAAATGAGGAGTGAACACAGCTTACCCTCGGGGAGAAAGTGTACAAGTGGGATAACGCGTCTCAGCTTGGAGCCTGGAGCGAAAGCTTGGGCTGGGAACCTCCTGGGTTCGATTGCTCCTGCCCCTTTCGATCTGGATGAGTTTCGTACCGGCACCCGTTCGTGTAATCACTACAGCTTGATGCACGTTAATAATCCCAGGTTGGCGGTTGTACTGCACTGGCTAAATTTCTCATCTACAGCTAAGAGACCGATTACCCGTTGTAGTGTATCTCCTCCATCAAGGCTGTTATAAACATACAGAGCAAACCAATTTTTTGTTTTGTTTATCCTGTGAAGAACACGGAAACATACTCAGTGCAGTAGTTCACCGGTGAGTCTAGACAACCATTCGAAAATTGTAGAACACAAAATCCCGAATCATCTGTCTAGTACACAAAAGGTCTTAAGTCAATCAGAACACAAATTCTAGTATGGCCAAAAAAAAAAAGAAAAAAAAAATTCCCGTGCGTCTACTTTCCTGCACAACACCTCGCAGAGCCAATTACCGCAACTTACGGAGGCAGCTCAGCGAATGAGGATGCAGAAACATATGTTTAGGCGAAATAACGCAGTCTGAGTTGTAACATTAAGCAATGAAAAACATCACGCTTGCTTGCTTAATGTCACAACCCAAACTGCGTTTTTTGGTCTAAACATATGTTTCGGCATCGTCTTTCGCTGAGCTGCCTCTGTAAGTTGCGGTGATTGGCTCTCCGAGTGTTGTGTGGGAAAGTAGACGCACGGGGTTTTTTTAGAGTGTAAAATACACTGGGGTGTATATAACGATCATACAACACACTTCCACATTTTCCTTGGATACGCTTAATACTAGACGATTTGGTGACTAAAAAAGTTCCACACGACTGAGGCAAACTCAAGGAGGCTTCCGGCAAGAAAATAAAATAACTAAAAACAAAGAAAAAGAAAAAACAAAGTGGAAACGAAATAAAATGAAGCGTGTTCTTTACGGAATGGCATGCAATTCTGTCACACTGGCCATGCAAAAACCGTCAGGAGACATATTCGAAGCATAACTATGTATGAAGCAAACCAACACCACCTAGACAGAAGGTCTCCGCATGGTTTCCTCTTCTTCTATGAAACGTCATCACAGTCGGATCGCGCTCGGTCGGCTATTGGACCCGAGCCCGACCTTCGACGCGCTGATTGGCCACGAGCCGCAGCCGAACACTGACGCAGCACTCGTGCCCAATCTCTCGCCTCGATCGATCCGACTATGATGACGCGTGTGGAGGCCTTCTGTCTAGGTGGTGTTGAGCAAACCCGCTTAACTCGAACTTGCTTGACTCGTGTTCGCAGAAAATTTTGTTATCATGTCTGCAGCGGACAGCGTGCCATTTGTACGATGTCTTCGTCCATGGCGCCCGGTCTGCAGTCACTAAGCACCAAAATGGCGGCGCCCACATGATAACCGCAAAAAAAAAAAAAAATCTAATGCCGCCTCTCCAAGCATGGCTTGCTGAATGTCTTTAGCGTGGCTATCAAGTTGATGTCGACAAAGATGTCGTCGCATTGATGGCGTCGTCACTGAAGCCTCGTTCGCTGTCCAGCTGTCGCGCCAGGACTCGCCACTGCTTCGAGTGGAACATGAATTGGACTGAGCACTCGCTTTGCCGGACCCGGCGCAGCTCGCGTTCCAGTGGATCGATGAAGTTCCGTTCTAAGCTTGTTCCGAGCTCGTACTGCGAGGAAGACGGGAGGGAAAGTTGTATTGTGGTTGTTTCGACTGTGGTTCCCCCTGGACAAACACTCGACGAACACTCAACGAACAAGCAACAAACCCTCAACGAACACTTCTCGGAGACGTGCAACGCCCATCTTGTTAGGAACCTGCGACGTGCATCATATTTTAATCCGATAACACGCAAAACTCCTTGATCTGCGGTTGCGTCAAATGGATAATAAAAGCGCGCAACGAGTACATTTCACGGAGGGTCATTTAAAGTAGGTAATGCCGTTAAAAATGGTCTTTTCTTAAATATGAAAAAAAAAAATATAATTCGAAAGATTCTCCTAATCCTTAATTAAAAAACTTTTATTGAGTATCAGGGGAAAAACAACAAGATAAATCAAGTTTCAAAAAAAGTAAAAAAAAAACAAACAGCACCTTAAAAACTTGAGACTTAATAACAAAAAGGGTTTCAAGTTGTTAAAAATTCACTAACTCGCCTGCATGTTTCTGTTATTTCTACGACATACAAGTCATGGGGCACGGCTGATACATTCTCGCCGCGGGTAGAATTGTCGACAATAGGCAGTGAACGATGGACTGAGCTTGAGGATGGAAGCGGTTGGCTTCCTGCTGAGCCTTGCACAGACTTACGCAACCGAATACGAACATCGACGCCCAGCCAAACCTCGTCTCACCCTATGATGAACTAAAGGCCAAAGCTACGGATTGCCAGGCCCTATCACGAGCCGGTTAGGAAGCATATGTTATTCCGGCGTGTGTATCTCTGAGACTCGCGCACTGATACGCACAATAGACCACCTGGTTTCTGACTGGCTCGTGACTGGACCCGGCAGCCCGTAGCTTTGACCTTTAGTTCATGAGGTATAGGCACTCTTTTCGAGAATTCAGAGCTAAGATTTCGATAGGCAACTGGGAAGGAGTTCTGAAACAAGCAGGCTTAGCACTCAGCCGGCGATGGGTAAACGGCTTTGGAGACACCGACATGAACCCAACGTGCGCAGCCGATTGGTCAATCCCGTCGTCTACTACCATAAGGCCTTCTTTGTTACCCATGGGTACTTTTCAGAACTGTGCAGCTTGTTTATCGCTAATGGGTAAAATTTGCGCGTTTGAGACTACCTCGCCTGTAGAAGAGCAAGCGGTCTGACGCCACACGCGATCGCGGGGAACATACAAAGAAACAGCAAAAATAAAACGCAGTTCTTGCAGAGGTCAAAGCTAAGTCGCTGAGATCTCGTGTTAGTGGGTGCCGTTTCACACGTTCTAGAAAAAGAAAAGAAAAAGGAACAGGAGCTCTGCGAGGCTACGTATAGTCTGACGTAACAATTTGCACACAGGAGATGTGTACCCTGGTGGAATGCATTGGGTAATTTTGATTGTATTACAGCGCTAATCTAGTCGAATTCGCGCAAGGAAAGATTTTGTTTACATTTTTTCAGCGCTGCAAAGAGATAAAAGCTTAGCGATAGGGTTGTACCGCGAAGCTCCTCTGGTCTTGATCGGGTGAGCTTTACTACCTAAAATAACTGGATCGTGGGAAAGTGGTGCCATGCTCCCAGTATGGTGGCCGTTTCGGTTCATGAAATGAGCAATTTCTCCTTGGCCTTTAAAGGGATACTTCAACGAAATTTGAAATATTCCCGTCGTATTCAAAAATAGGTTGAATATGATCCACAATATCCGTAAATGACAATCGCACGTTTGTATTTTGATCCTGGTGGCTGTATTTTTTTGTTATAAACGGCCCACTCTGGCAAGCGCTCGGAGAAGGCCCAGCTTAGAGCACGTGACATCCAACGCAATCGTGACGTAGGTCGTCTCAAGACGAGCAAAGCTACCGCGAGGCTGACGTCGAGAGGATGGCCTAGTCGTTCCAGCCACCGAAGCAACTGCTTTTGCACGAATTTTGAGTGACGGGTTTATCTTCTATAATCTTCTAGGGGGACAATAGCGACTTCTGCGACACACAAAAGGGATTCTCCGGAAGAGGGGAGTTCCTCCTTCTCCCCTTCTCTCGTCGTGGCCGGAGACGAGACAACCTCCGTCACTAGCTGTCAAGATTCCTAGACGAGCATTACAAACGAGGCGTTAGCGACATCCACCAGGTGCTCTTTGCTAATCGTTTAATTCGTTTTAAAATTCCTTTTCGAGACTTTTTTAACAAGATATTGGTATGTTTCATGTGATACTGCTTTTTTGAACACATATAGACCAAAAAATGAGCGCCAAAATTTCGTTGTAGTATCCCTTTAAACTCTTGGTGAGCCGATCTAAATTCGCTTGTGGCGGTTAGCTTTATAGAAACGTTTCTTGTATAACGAGGTTTCGCTATCCACACACCGGCAAAACAAGCGTACGTCTTCGCACCACCATCACATGTGGTGTCGGTGCTTGGAAACACTGAAAAATAATTTCCCTCTTTTGAAATACGCAGTAAGAACAATATAATTGCAAAATATCCGTGGAGATGAGCATGATGAATAAGTTGATTGCATACATACTGCCAAATACGCTTATTTTGGCGAGGAACACCGCCAGTTGGATCATGCTTCATGGTGATCTTGGTGCGACTGGATTAGAACGACCCTGTCAAAACATCAAAGGTTTGAAGGGGCCGAAATAGTGATTGCCATAGCAACGGAGACCGATTAGCCAATCACCTTGCGAGGTTTTCGTCGTCTGTATAAAAGGCAGGGAAGGCAATGGCGCTACTTTCCCAGGATACAGTGACTTTTGTGCTGCATAAAGCCCCTTGGTGTGTTTGCGCTTCTCTTGCGAGTAGCATCAAGTGCGTCAGTGCACGAGGCCCCTGTTTCGAGCGGCCCTGGAAGCAAATGACGACGCAGCACTGAAATGAGATGCCCCTGGAAACGAATGGCGGCGGAGCACCCGCTTGTGGTACGTGTCTTGCGTGTTTCCACAACAATGGTTAACGGTGTTTGTAAAAATAAAAAAAAAACTTCTTTATCAAGGGGTTTTAGGGCTACCCAAAACGAAGGCGACACTAGTAGTGCAACGCCAAGGCATTGAGTTGGTACTATCTAAAAACAGGGTGCCACAGTTAGCTCAAAACTTTTGCGCAGAAGGCCCGCTGTAATGGTAAACACTATTGTTAAATTCTTATTATGTTAGCTAGCATCAAACTTCTAAAATAATGCCAATTTTTCAAACAAGAAAAATGTCATCACGTCGCTACGTTCCATAAGGTACTTTCTAGCATGCACTTGTCCAATATTAGTTATGGGGTAGGTTTAGGCACAGGAAATGAAATGATTATTCCCGTGTGAAGGCAGCACGCCTCGAGCACCTTCTGCATGACAGAAAAGACGGCGTAGATGGTGGGCTCCCTGTCCGGGTCCGTAGAGCGATTCCGGTTTCCATGCACCAGTGCAGGTGTTTCGCCCGCGCACGACTTGTGGAACATACAGTTTTCCTTGCGATAGTTCCACCTGCACGTCATTAGAAACAGCCTGTCCGGGTGGAAGCTGAGGAGGACGTTCACCAGGTCCTGGTCGCCCAGAAAGATCCGGTCCTCGTACTCCTCTAGGAGTGGCCCCATGCGCGACACCCAGCCGAAGTTGCGCATGCGCGTGAGGTTCATGGGCATTACGCCGGCGTTCACTCCTGTGGCAGAACAAAAGTTCACAGTTTTTTTTTCGCCCATATCCTGCAAGTGAACTGTGACGACAGCACGCTTTACTGCCCACAGACTACTCACAATCATTCAAAACTACCATTCCAAATTGGATAAACCTGTAAACATTAAATTGTCACGGGACGTCGCAGCTTTCCCACTAAATTTAGCGAAAAATCCCGATGTAATGTGACTTGTTGACGTTACATAGTAAGCAATATGTCTACATTAGCTCAGTTACGGAACTGCCCATAGACGCTTTATTCACGAGCAGTACCCCCATTTTCCCCCGCTTCTCGCCTCCTATCGTTGGACGCAACACCGTTTTTGGAGGACGGCTGCACTGGGAACTGCAGCGTATACTATGGACAAAAGGTAAGGGCGCGAACGAGCTGGTGGTGGTTAAACATTTCGACAAAAACCCCGAGACTGGGACAAAAAGGGACGGACAAACACAAAGACTCAAACACAGCTGAAATTATGGAATACGTACGTGTGTTTCAAAGCCCAGCGTCTAGATGGCGTTTCATCGCACTCTGTGGAACACACAGTTTTGAAACAAAAATCTAGATGGCGCTTCAAACGCCTGAAGGCGGACCGAAGGATTTAATTGGGGTAAAAGAGTACTGACGAATAATTTCGACCACCTGGGGATCTTTTGACGTTTCCCCTGTCAGATCGTGGGTACCTCGGCCGGGATTTGAACCCGCCACCTCGGGATCAGTAGGACGAAGCTTGCCTCGGAGCCACCCTCGTCCATGAGAGTTCCCCAAATAACGTAATCCAATAACGTTCACAGTCCGGAAATGTCATATGACGGCCAAAACGCTTCACGCGATGTCGCAATGTCACGTGACTTCATACGAAGTCCCAATGACGCCTTACGTTATGTTTGATTTTGATGTGACAGCACAATTTCCCGCAAGATATAGCGGTAGAAAGGACGTTCTAATGTGCCCGCTAAACTTGGCGGTCAAATTATTACGTTTTTTGCCGTAACGTGACGCGATCTTGTACTGTGACGTCATAGCTCTACGCGACGTTAATTGCTCGCTAAATTTAGCGGGCCACAACCCAGCTCGAAACACACTTTGGAATACGTTGTGAAATCTCGTCAAGAACGGCTATGACCGTAAAAGTCCCCCGATTAAGCTCGCCGTGCTTTACTCCAGCATTGTATACATGTAGTCCGACCACAGGCCACGTGATGACCCAATGAAGCAAAGCACGGTTTGAACACGTCTCCGCTAAATATTTTTTTGCATTGCCCGGTTGAGCGCACCGGAGCCTTGCATGGGGAGACCAGGTCGGGCATGGCCACGGTTTGCAACACATCTGCGCTAATTCGTTCGTTGCATAGCCGAGGTCGAATTTACCGGAGGATTTAACGTGCAGCCAAATGTAGGGTTTGCCCCCACATCTGCGCTAATTATTTCCTTTAAATAGGCGAGCTTTAATCCACCGGCGAGCTGCTAGGCCAGCCCAAGTTGTGCATGACCATGTTTTGCCTCGCATCTGTGCTAATTCTTTCTGGCAAAGCCGTTGTTGAACCCACCGGAGCATTGCACGCTACCCCAAAACCCAATATAACTCTTTGCTATCTGGATTAGGAAACTCCAAATCTAACTGGAATTGTTACCGGAAACCCGAAATCCGGATTGCAGACAAAGGAATAATTTGTGAAAACCTAAAATCCAGATAGAAGTCAATAAGATAATCCAGATCGCGAAAAGTTATATTGAGTTTTGGGGGGTAAAGTGGCCATCATGGTTAGGCATGCCACGCTTTGCCCCCATACGTGCCAATTTTTTCCCCGCATAGCCGAGGTTTAACTCACCGGAGAATCGGACGGGCAGCCAAAGTTGGAAGTGACCACTCTTTGCCCACATCTGCGCTAATCGTTTCCTCGCATAGCCGAGGTTGAACTCCCCGGAGCATTCCACGGGCAATCCAACTTGAGCATGCAACTTGAGTATGGTCACACATCCCCACGCTGTGACCATGTGGTGTCAATATGGGAATCTTATGGACGGACATTACCCACCTGAGGCCCATGTGGGCCCCTCGTTATCAGCTACCGTGGTTTACGCCGTTTGCTTTAAAAGCGTTATTAGGCTTTTCCTCTTTTGAATAAAATACTCGATGGAGTAGACAAAATAATTTCAGCAAAACAGGAAGCGTCTGTAGGCACATACCAAAAGGATGAACATAGGGGTGCTCGTGTTTCAGCTTGTACCGGTTGTTAGCTTCGTCTTCAATCGCAGGAACTAGGGAAATCAATTGAGTCTCGTTCATCTTCCCGAAGACATCCCAAAGTTCCTCGATTGGGTTCAGAAAGAGGGTGTCCGCGTCCAGGTACAGAACCGCATCCTCATCCGGTAGCATGTCCTGCAAAAAATGCCGCGCTGATCTTGGCATCAAATACCACGTTCGATATTGTAGAAAATACGACGGTAAAGTCGTCAAGTACATAAACCTTTCTACTAACTTTTTAATTCCGATTAGGAACAGTGCTCATGGGTCACTCATATGACCTTTGTCATGTGAGAAAAACAGTCCTCGAGATTTTCTGGTGGTGAACGCCGAAAGCTCTGTATCGACAGGAGTGTAAGAAAGACTTCTGCCCACTCTGAAACGGTCGAGATGGGCTCCAAAGAGGCTTTTTACTTGCTCAAGCATAACAAAAATAGTTAGCGCAAAAGACGAAGGACAAGTAGAAGCGCTTGCCCTGTCCAGTTTTTTACCTGTCCTTTGTATTTCGCGCTAACTGTTTTCGTGATTCTCAAGTACGTGGAACTACATCCCTTGGCTAATTGTTGCTAGACTAAGAAAATAGTTTCAAAGTTTAACATCGGGTGATTTCCTTTCATTATTGGTAACAGGAAATAGAAGCTGTGATGATGGCGGTGATGGATGATGGCGGATGAGACGTGTGTGTTCCTTCTTTGGTGGTCCTGGCGCATTGGTCATGCAAAAAAGTCTGGAGACATGCTGGAAACACACATGTTCAAACCAAATGACCTTCGAACGTCCTTGAGACGTGTCCTCAAATAATTCTGTTAATCTTCCTGAAGCGAACACCGTGTCCTTCTTATAATGTATGAGCAGTGTGACCGTGGTCTAAGGGAGGCATTTAAACGCTTCTACCCCCGAAATAAGAAATGTCTCGCCAAGAAAGAAGTTGGTTGTAGGTATCGCCCGTGCTTGGTAGATCAGCCCACCGGAACCTCGTCATAGCACTGTGCTGTGACACAAACCGAGCACTCACTGGGAGAAAGAGGCGCTGTGCAGAGCAGGGCGCGAAGAGTTTCTTCCACTTTTCGGAGTTCGCACTTGGGAACATGACCAGGCGCAGGTCGTAGGTAATCCGGGCTTGGACACTTGCTGGCCACTGCATGATCTGGATGGACAGATTAACACAATATTATAGTGTATGCATACTGTTCGTAGAGAAATATAAACTGTTCGTAGAGACATATACTGTTCGTAGAGACATATAATTTGCTACATTTGCAGAAGCGCGATGAGGCTTATTCATGACTATCTTCTCTGAAGTGTGAAAATCGATAATTCTGTTTGTATATTTGCCATTTTGCTCTCGTTTGGTTCTAAAGGGACACTATAACGTTTTAAAGTTTTGCTTTGTTTTGCACCTGGTTAGCTTTTGGTCAGCTCAATAGGTAGAGTGTTCTTATCCATGAGAGGTCCCGGGGTAAATTCCCGGATTTGGCGGAATAATTTTTTTTAAACTCTCATCGGTCATTTAGGGATCGGGAGTTGCGCTGCTTTACAAGTAAAAGTTAAAAAAAATCGTTTCGATGATATTTTTTTACACTAACTCACCCTGGCGACCCTAGTCGAAGAATTAACTACAATAATCCGGCGTCTGCTCGACACCTTTCTGTCGATAATTATCATGTCTGTAAATTTCCTAAAATGGGGATTCTATATTGATGCAAAGCTATCGAAAAACTGACTGTTGTTACTATTGATAGGTTTTCCGAAACTATGGATACTGCGAAAACTATCAATAGGTGACTATCGATAGTACTATATATCGATAGTTGGTTATCGATAGTTTGATATTGATAGTACCATTGACAGTAGTACTGATTGTTTACTATCAATAGTACTATCAAGAGTGCAACCAATAAATAGTACTCTCGATAGCTGGCTTTTGGTCGACTATCAATAGTGACAAAGGTCATCTTTCAGAAAACTATTGAGTGTTACGAAAATGAAAGCTCTGACCAAAAAGGGAATGACGACGGATATGTACAGTCGGCACGGAATGAAACGCGAACAGTGGGTGCATGGTTTTCGCTCGATGCTGCACCACCTGAACCAGATGGGAGCTTGCAAGAAGATGGCTCCTCCTTCGATGTGTTAAACTCTTGCTCAGTGCATCCCAACCTTCGGTGTTGCGTCTCTAGGTGACTCAGCGTGGGTCGAAAACCATGCGCTCCTTGTTCGCGTTTCATTCCGTGCCGACTGTACGTGCACACAACAGGTGGCTCTGTAAATAAACATGGAATTGGAAGGAAACAATATAATATTGCAATCTCATAAAATTAATTTAGTGGCAAAACAAAAATTGCGTTTTTCCAGTTTTCCTGCCGACATATTTGGTATATTTAACACTCTAAAAAATGCCTGCGCGTCTAATTACCCTGCAAAACACTCGAAGAGTCGATCTCTGCAATCAACCAAATCAGCTCAGCGAAAGATGGGGTGGAGCATCTTTTTATATTCCAAAATTAGGTCTGCGCTGTGGCATTAAGCAATGCAAGCATGACGCTTTGCATTGCGTAATGCCAAAGCGCAGACTTCATCTTTAGGTCTAGACGGATGTTCCGCCTCAGCATTCGCTCAGCTGATTTCGTAGATCGCAGAGAATGACTCTTGTAGTGTTTTGCGGATAAGTAGACGAGCAGGCATTTTTTAGAGTGATTAAGGGGGTCAGATATTAGGTTTCAAACTATAGTCTACCCGCATTTGTAAAACCATAACCTATTTTTAGTATCCTTTTTGTCTTGAAGCTGGGGAAAACACTCGCTGAAAACATCTAGCATCATAGTTTTCACAAGTTTGTTCCACGCTTCGGTTTCCTATATAAGTTTATTGTAACAAATGACAGGCACAGATGAGCACTCCGCTGGGGATGGTGAATGATTTTTTTTTTTTTTTTCACGCTGATGGCCATTTATAGCGACCTCTCGAAAATCGGATGTTAGCTGTTGGCAGAAGCATATCGGCTTGCATGCCGTGATATATTGCCACTTTTATTCGGTTCTACTTTGCCAGATTTTCATAACGGTAGCTGGGAAAACATTTACTTGTTGGTATAAAATACGAGTTCAAAATACACAAACCGTCACATAATTTATAAATATATTTTTTTGAATCAGCAAGTGTAAAAGGTTTTGTCGTGGAGACTTCAAATTGGATATCACCAGATACGAACGCTTATGTTAAGACAAACTGGTCAGTTACTGATGCTTTTAGTCTTTCTATTGTTCAAATTAAGTTTGGGCACAAAATGTTAACTGGATCAAAAAATGAAAGATAAAGACGAAAATGTCTTGTCATCCAGGAAGAGATATTGTTGGCAATAAAGCATTACTTTAGTGAAAAAAACAACAACAACAACAACGGGTGAATCCAAAAGGCTGTATTGTTTCCTTTCTTTCTCGCCACTTGTTTGGCTCGAAAAAAGCCACACATATTTTTATCCGGGTAAAATCATGTTCCCATATTTGCGCATTTGATCATCATCGCTGACATCATATTCAAGTAGGTTTCTTTATTTATCCAACACGCAGTTTACTTGGAAATGTGCAAGCAAGCTGGACAAGTTGTCCAGCTGACTTGCACCTTTATATAAATTGCGCTATCATCATAACCTTAAAATGCAGGCCGTTAACCTTGTTGGTGTTAGACTGGTGGCAGCTGATAAAACCCGTTTGCTCTGCTGACGCCTAATTCCTGGTTAGCTCAGAGTTATAAGTGATTTTCTGAAAATTTCAATGGAAAAATGGCGGCCGACGGAGTTTTGGAATACATGGGGTTCTATGGCACCAGAAACCGAAAACGGGCGAAAATGGGCTCCATTTTTTATTGAAATTTTCAGAAAATCACTTATAACTTTTGAGTAAGGTATCGTATCGTGCTGAAACTTTGGCATCTGGTTGTGGCCTCTAGCGCTACCTTTGGGCAGAGAATGGACGTTCAGCGATGCCTAGTTTATTTTTGCGGTAAAAAAGAATGTGCAAATTTTGTTTGTGACACCCTGTAAACTCGATAGTTTTACGATAGTCGACTATTGATTGCTCAATCAATAGTTTTTTCACTTTCGATATTTAAAGTTTGCTTCTACTATCGATTGTACACTCTAAGAAGTGTCTGCGCGTCTACTTACCCGCAAAACACTCGAAGAGGCAATCTCTGCGATCTATGAAATCAGCTCAGCGAACGATGGGGCGGAACATCTGTTTAGACCTCACAAATAAGCCTGCGCTGTGGCATTACGCAATGCAAGCGTGACGCTTCGCATTGCGTAATGCCATAGCGCAGACTTCATTTTTAGGTCTAAACGGATGTTGCGCCTCATCCTTCTCTGAGTTGATTTCGTAGATCGCAGAGATGGCTCTTTGAGTGCTTTGCGGGTAAGTCGACGCGCAGGCAATTCGTAGAGTGTATCTATAGTACTAAATATAGTTTTGCACCACTAGGTCACTGCCCAATTTTTTTTTTCTAGAGTCATAATTGAAAAGATCAGAAAATTTAAGATCCACCTACAGCCTTGACTAATACAAGTTCAGCTACTAGTTATTTTTGAATTACGATTTTTCAAAGTTTTTAGCTAATCTTGAACGACGTTCTACTTAAGCTCCTAACTAATATTGAATGACTTTCTGATTAAGCTCTTGTCTAGTCTTGAATTTCAATCTCATTAATCTCATAGCTAATCTCGACTCACTCAATAAGATCCTAGCTAATCTTGATTGACTTTTTGTTAACCTCCTAGCTAATCCCGAATCACTTGTTGAGCTCCAAGCTAGACTGGAACACGTTTACGGGTAACTTGCATTGACTGAAACGTTCGTGTTTTTTTTTTTGTTTTTTTATGGGGTGAGTAGGAGCACTTTGAGGCGCTGTAGTTAAATACCCTGTCTTGAAGAATCTTGATGTTCTCCTCATCAGCGTACAGGATCAGTCTCAGGGGAGTTCTTGAGAAGGCGATGGCTGACTTGAGATTGGTCATGGTCAGTTCCAAGCGGTTCCCACACGTGACCACCACCAACGTCACAGGACCCCTGCGTCAATTTTAAAGCGACTGCATACTTAATATAGAGTGGCTACAAAAGCTACTGCGATCTTTTTAACTTTCACTTTTTGTACACGCTTTAAAGTGTACAATAACCACCCTTTCTTTTCTGATCAGGATCAACATCGTACCGGCGTGCGCTAGTTTAATCACTGCGGAGTTTTCGTAGACCATTTCTGACGTACCGCTGCAGTCTCCGCAACAAAGGCACTGCTACGGCGCATGCGCGCCACTAGCCTCGTCTGCGAAGTTTCCGATCTCATAGCGACTGGAGAAGGGTGTTGTGAGACAGCGTAAACATCATCAGTCAATAAGTCATTTTATTTATGGCGTTGAAGCCAACCTGCGAAAGCTTCATATCACTGCATCATTCAAGTTGAAAACCTCAGGCTAATAGCCGTACGCCGGGCTCACCCTGGTAATACACCACACAAAAGACAGCCTGCAGGCGTTGTCGTAGGCGGGTGTCTACCTGTTTTAATTGTGCTGGGAATATGGGTCATAAAAAATCTATTCTGCAAACAGCTGCACACATGCTTGCTAGAGGCGTTTCCGCAGATAGCTAGGACTGTCATGATGTATGCAGCGAACCAGTGCTCCAGAGTGGCCACCCTCATTTCATTCCAGTCTTATTCTGCGGATAAAAGTTTCCGACAATCTCATTCCTTTCAACTCCTCGTTATGAAGACGCTGGGCCCATTCACACTTCTTAAAATAACTGAACTCCACCATTCTATTCCTTTGACTCCTAAACGTGAAAAAATGGCCATTGGCAGCTACATTCTGTTACTGGACAAAAGCAGCATAAAGCTGCAGATGTTATCAAACTCGCAGACGACGGCAGAAGTATGCAAAAAGCTTTCTCAAGATTCGAATTCTAGTTGTGATCGCACAGGGCGCATCTTGAAACTTGGTGTCACTGCAGATATCGATCGCGCGATAAAGCGTAAAGGGCTCGCAAGAGACGCCCAAAATTCAAACCACACACTACAGGTGCATGGTCAGTGCGCTGTTTGTTTGATAAACCCTTAAAAATCTAATTCGTGCGTGACGCAAGAAGATGCCATCTTGCTCTCTGCTTCGAATACTCGCACAAAACCATCGCCACTACGCTGTCAAAAGCGACGCCGCATATACCTGCTCTAAATTTTCATGCATCCATGCACTGTGGCAAGAACTGAAAACCGCTGACAGAATGAAATCATGATACGGTGCTAGCACAGACGACTGAAGCACCATATTACGGAACCTGCATCAAAACTTTAACTTGTATGCTGTTCGATTCTTGGAGTTTTGTGTTCTATCCAACCCAATTGTTTAATTGGGTGCAACGAAAACGCTAGAAGATCGGCTGAGTTAAATGCAGGGAGTCGAACAGAACAGTTTGGCTCCCTGGGCTCGGGCGAACTGTAGAAGCATTTTCCTGGCGAATTGAACATTCCTTGTGTAGTCTTCGCTAACCGACGCGTTGCTGTCTTTTAGCTTGGATCACGATTTCAGCACAGTTTCTTTGTGTTTAGAAAAATACATTTTACAATAATGGGTTGGTTTTTATTAGGATGAAACCTGCCGATTCGACGGGCCCCTTCAATCGTATCAGGGGTAATCTGTATGGCTAGTTTATCACTGCATACGTCGAGAACTAGTTTTTCGGATTCCGCTCAGAATTACCTAGCAATGTCCTTAAGCCTCTCTCTCTCCCCCCCCCCCCCCCCCCCCCCACCCCCCCAAAAAAAGTAAGTTCGATCGTCGGGAACGACTGTCGGCATCATCGAAGCGCCGCCTCTAAAACGCTATGTCGGAAAGAAGTCATTGGACCTTCGTTTCGATTTCAGTCACCGCGTTTGCTTTGGATTTACAAATTGCAAGATCAGTTTCAATAGTCGTCACACGTGTTGTTAGGGCAGATAATGAATCAGTGGTCCGTTTTTGCTCGTCAGTAATTTCTTCTAGTTGTACCACGACACCTACTTGACCTTCTTGTAATTGAGTTACACAATTTTCAATCCTAGCTAGAGCCTCAGCCTGTGCTACGGTCATGGGACCAGCGTTAGGTTCGACGTCGCCGCTTAGAAGCAATATCCGGTCTAAAAAACGCTTTAGGCACATCCGGGGGCACGCGGTGATCGCTACCTGCTTCGCATTATTATCAAGAGCACTTTATCATCAATTATTTGGTTCGAATGCTTGTTTTGTGGTTGTTTTTTATTAAAACGAATGCTGTGCTTTATGTTGCATGCGTGATATGCACTTTTCGCTTCAATCGCTAAAAATTGTTTTCCGTGAGGACGACGACACGAAAAAATTCCAGAAATCCCAATTGTTTGATTGAGTTCAACGAAAACACTAGAATATCGGCTGAGTTAAATGCAGGGAGTCGAACAGGTCTTTGGTTCGGTTCGGGTTTGGGTTCAAAATAATTTTGCATTTTGTTCCGGTTCGGCTCCGGTTGAGGGATGCTTTTGAAGTAACGGTTGGGTCACCGGTTCCACCAAGTGCGAATAAGTTCAAACATGTTCTTAAAAAGAATAGTCCGTTCAACATGGCGTCATCAGCATTAAAAGATCAGGTCATTAAAAGCCCTGCTGCGGAAACGGGGACAGGAATGCAAATATACGGTTACTTTTGTTTTTGATGTTGACTTTTTTTCGCCAACACCGTTTTACGAAAATTTATGCAGTTATACAGGTGCTCTGAAATAGTACAAAGTACAGTACTTCAATGCGAAGTCAATCTGCCAGAACGCACAGGGTCACCGTGACGGTAGCACACGTACTGCAAACTAACTCACACTGCACGCCCGAACGCTGCCGAACGCCTTGTTCGAACAACTGAGTTGAAGAGGAGAAAGGCAGCGAAGATACCCACACACACGCACGCGCACACCTAACCACCCACCCACCCTCTCTCCCTCACACACACACACACACACACACACACACACACACACACACACACACACACATACACACGCACACACACACACACGCACGCTCGCACGCACGCACGCACACTCACACGCACGCACACACACACACACACACACAAACACACGAAAAAGGCTCGAGGTTATGGTGTACTAGAAGACTGTACACCGAAGCACTTCTTATGAGTTGTGAATGCGAAAGCATGCATGCCGTTCTTCCGCGCCCTTATTTCTTCTGCGGCGTACTCGCGTCGAAAGCGCGCGCTCTGCTCGCCGCGTGGGCGTGGAGAAGTAGAGCCACTGTCTCGCGAACACGCAGCGCCACGGGGTATTGCTAATTGAAACTGACACGCGGCGGCTTCGTATCACTGCCATTTTGCGTGGCTTTCTGCGTGGCTTCAAAGGTGGGATGCCCGGGACCGAGGCTTCGTGAGTTTATTTTCCGTTTGATGCGGCTGATGACGTCGGCTCGCTTTATGGGATAGTTTATGCTTTCGCATTAATAAAAAATTGCGGTGGCTTAGCTCGGCTATGCCAGGATATACGTAGCGTGAGATTATGCGCACAACATCAGAGGCGCTATCAAGCGGCTCCGGTGCAGCGTCAGACTTGGCTACTGCGCAACGGAGGCGCACAGCTGGGCACGCGGCGGCGGCTATGACGTCGCTCCTCTGGAATGCGCAGACCGGCCAGGCGCGCGCGGCGGCGGCGGTTCCGGCGCGCCAGCTGTGCGCCGTGTGACGTCAGTGCCCCTCGCACTTCCGCAGCACGGCTCTTTGGGAGCCACACGAAACTGCTCAACCTCGGCCAGTGTAGCTCACGCTACAAACAAAGAATTACTCAAGCAGCGTTTAAGTCTGTGAGCGGCAACATTTGGCGCCTCCAAATGTTGCCGCCGCGGAACAAACACTCCAGCAACCGTCCACTTTTTGTTTTTATTTGAATACTTACGTTTGTTCTGACTTTCCTTGACGAAGTTTGCTTAGAAGCAAGAAAAGGAAAAGAAAAAACCCAAACAAAAAAAGAAGTTTTTTTTTGTACGCCTCCACGCCGACTCGACGACGCCAAGCTTCCTGCTGTACATGGACGTTAAATATAATTATTTGTTTCATTATTATTGAGCTGTCTCCAAGTCGCTGCCGTTGGTTTAATCAAAAGACGCGAATATTTAATTTACTTCGCGCTTCCAGCCGCTCATATATATTGTACGCCGAACCGTTTTCAATGAACCGATAACCGGCACATGCGATTATGGTTCCGTTCCGGGTAGGGTTCAAGGAAATGTTTGATTTCGATTACAGTTTTGTTCGGGTTCGGTAAAAAAATAACAGTTTTGCTCCGGTCTTTGGTTCAGGTTTGATTCGACAATTCAGAGGCTACATGCTAATCGCGCATGGTTACGACAATCGCTTTGTCACGTCTCGCGGCGCCAGAAACGACACCTTTCCATTCACAACTATTCCGTTTTGATTGCTTCACTGTTAGGAAGCGTTAGGACGCAGAACGCCGTCATTCGGCGTTTGGCTTGCGCGTTAGAACGCGTTCGACGAGATCCCCGGAGACAAAGGCGGCTAGCTTTAGGTCTACCCCCTAATCTTTCCAATCAGAGATCGACGTTCTGACGCCCTCCGCATTCTCGCCTGCTCCTCTACCTCAATTTTTCGGCGTATTGTCCTTTGTCCCCCTTGTTCCCCTTCTCCAGGGATTATTTTCGTCATTCTTGTCCAGCTCGCTTGCACCTTTGCATTTAATTGCATTATAATTGCATTCCCATTCCGTTCCAAGTTCGTGAAATTGCGCGGAATGATTCCGGAATCGTCGCAACTCCGGAGTGGCAACTCCTTAGCACTGCCGCGAACACTGTGTCTTTCGTTTGATGTTCAAGCAATATGACTGCGCCACGATGTTCTACACTGACCAAATCGACCAGCGGAAATATTATAGACAGGATTATAAGGTAGTATGACTTTCTGCTGCCGAAACATCGCTATCTGAAATATATAATCAAGAATTAAGTTTCAAATTTTGCTTTTGGTACACTAACTCTAATGTCTACAGATTGGCTGGCGGTAGAAAAATGAACAAATAACTTTTGTTATAAAACGACAGCTTTCTCGACTGCCTTAAGCCGGAGTCGCCGTACGCCATTCAAAATACAACACTTTCGCTGAAGACATAATGACAACATTATCCGCTGACACGCCTCAAGCCTCTTCGAAGCACGTTTTTTTCGTACGTCTGTACGCTTCAAACATGTCTCCAGACTGTTTTTTATGGCCAATGTGCCAGGACCACCATGCGAGGAAGAAGCACACCTCAAGCAGTCTTCGCAGACTGTTTTTTGTATGATATATTATTGCGGGACCGGGGCTTTGGAGTCCCGGTTCCTTTGCCGCAGGAACCTACCTGCTTTTTGTGAAGCCATTGGCCGCGGGAAGCACGGTCGGGTTTTTCTCGTCTGCGCACCGGCATCTGGTATTAGGCATCTTGGTGTAAAAGAGACTTGCGAGGAGAAGCAGATTCCAAACTACTAGGAGCGTAGCTAATGCAGATCTGCACCAGAAATTTTTAGCGTACATGCCTTCGTTGGTGAAACAGCGGCACTCGAAGCGTCTCTTGGTGTTCGATCTTGGCGCAGATTCTAACTTGGTGCCTAGTCTAATGATTATAATACATCATACGGCCTTGAGAGGGATTCTGTCACATCCACCTCTCGTACTGAGTCTAATCTGAAAAAGAAAAAAAAAAGTAATTTAATTTGGGGTTATCTTCTTTTAAATATGACACACTAGCGTCTTCCAAATATGACACAATGGAACCTTTTTCAGAAGTTCGCGTAAGCGCTTGTCCGCCATTGCTTGATCACATACTCTGAGCTTGAAAGAAAAACGCGGGGCAGGACTTATTATGGTTCGCGCCTCTAATTACTTTATGACCGGTTCGTCGGCGCTTCTATCGTCTTATATCTCAATCTCATTGACTGCGGAGGGGTAATAAGATATGTAACTGACCTTAGGTTGAATGCTTTCTCGTGGTTCAGCGACAAGTTCAGGTTGTTTTAACGGCCGCGTCCCCCCCCCCCCCCCCCCTCAACGGGGCACACCCTGCAATATTTGCTGCTACTGCTAATTCCATGTCACTGGCAGGATGAAACGGCATGGAGGTCCTTCGGTTGCCCCACCCCCAGCGCGAGCTTCCTTCCTCAATAACAGTGGCAGCAGTAGAGACCGCTTTTTTTATATCGGCTTATTCGAATTCGTGCAATATTCAATTTCGAAGACCGAATAACCGGATATTCGAATAAAATGTTACGTTGTTCGGTTATATAAATATATGGGCACTCGATATATTTGTATACATGTTATCATGCACCGGAATTGAAATTGGTGGGCCCATATCAATGTTTGCCCCTGCAGCCATGCATGGCTTTCACCTCTGTCGCCTGCATATTTGGAAAATAAAAAATTGATCTCCAAAGGTCATTCATCTATCCAACCAGCGCGCCTCTAACGGCTAAGCTTGTAACTATACGCCCATGGGGAAAACAGCATGATTAATTTGTTTCCGTTTGGCTGGAGCTTCAGTTCAATTCACCAAGCACCAATTGAAAACGAGTCCTGGAACACAAGTGTCAGCCGAACACTGACGCAGCACTTGCGTAAAATCTCGGATCTGGGTTTGATCGACGCAGATAACGAAACTATTCCTGTCCAGAGGCCTTGTGTTGGATGAATGCCTACTCTGTAGAAAATAAGCTTGACAAAGCGGCGCTCCATGTGCCACACACCGCAATCCCTGAGCTTCGCGTTCGCGTAACTTATTCTCGTAAAAGAGTCGAAGAATTATGTCTTGGCGTGCACAATTTGCACAATTTTTCGCTGAAGGGCTTCGAATACTGACCCAATACATACGAGCGCCATAGGGTGAAAATGCCCGGTGGCACAGCAGGTTGAAAATGATTCAAGAACATAGAAATCGTTCCCCGCCTACGTGCCTCACAAACCGGGTGCGATTTAACACTCGTCCTTCCATTTTGTTGCGGATATCCGGGAATGGGTCCTAGAGTGTTTCGGCCAATAATTGCCTTGCATTCGCAAATGACCTTCAGCTGTCTGCTCATACCTATCGGTTACTTTTGGTTAGCGCCGTATATTATTGCGGTTTCGGCGGATCATCATCTCGGACACGCGTGTAATCCTCTGGTGCATACGAATGATTATACGATGTCAAAAATCGCAATGTATGTAAAAATATTTTTTGCTTTGTCTTCAGCTGATCACTGTATGTTCTTCTTGTATATCTGCGGACGAGTACCGGATAATGTAATTACGCAATGATAATCATCATATATATCAAGGTAAGCGTTACTGGGTAACTCCGGTACCTCTTCCTCCATTTCAGGGCTACGACCCTTTTAATACGAAAGCATTAACTGTCCCACGGAGTGAAGCCGGCGTTGTCTGTCCAGCGAGAATGGCACCTAAATTCCCACTGGCTCTCCGAAGCGTCATATTAGAGAGTTTTAGAATAGGGGGCCCCAAAGCTTTTGGCCCCAAAGAAATAGGGGCTCACCACTGCGCATGCGCAGAACCCAAACTCCGTTTGGGATTTCGGATTGGCGCTTGGGCCCCTAATTGCTTGGGGCCGGGTTGCGTCGGCAAACATGGCGGCGCCCTTTCCGCTCGCTTCGGAGCAAATTCGTCATAGTCGCTGCAGTATTAGCCCATTTCAATGCCAATGAATAGTGCAACCGGTTTTCGCCTTGCTTTATCTCGCTCAAATCACAAAGAATGAGCGGTGGGCTCGCCCCATTTTAAAGATTCTCCCCGATTCTGGCCGTTTCTAAGCCTAAACATACGCGGTAACCGTTGACATGGCAACGTATATTGCTACTCCGTGACTCCGAGTAGATTTCGTTCGTGGCACAATGCATGCTTCTTGAAAACAAGTATTTCAAGGCTTCAAATTGACTCCAGCTCAGATCTAAATAGTGCAGCTGCTCGCAGAGCATGCGCGCTCGCGTTCGTCTCAGTCTCGGCATAGTTGAAGGCCTAAATCTTCGGCTGCAGATGGTCAAAGCGCACACGAATGCCCAAAAAATTCGAGAACGAGCCATACCTAATACAGCGCGCAAGCACAGGAGGAAGAAAAGAGAACATAGGAAGGAGCGCTGACTCCCAACTTATGTATAGTGAAAGAGAAAGAGGAAGCTTCAGACATGAAGCCCACGCGCGGTAAAAAGAATAAGGAATAAAAACAGATACATCACTAAGTTGCATTAGTAAAGGAGAAAACTGACATTATAAGGTCACGACGAAAAAAAGATGAGAAAAAAGAAGAAAGAAAAACAACAACGTGGGTAACGTGGGCTTCATTTCTGAAGCTTCCTCTTTCTCTCTCTTTATCTTCTCCCTGTGCTTGTGCGCTGTTTTACGTATGTTTTCTAAGTACCAGCTAGCTCAACACTCTATGTTACTACGAGAACAAGCGCCAAATTAGAGCGCTACGGATTGGATTGTTTCGGCTACACCCGAGGCGGGATGGCCGAACGAGTCGAGGCCGATCCAAGGTCAGAAGAAAATGGCGGAAGAGAAGGCTCCCGCGCGCGTTCGCTTCTCGATCGACGATGACATTTATGTGCTACGCGAAGTGTACGCCACTAACCCATTCCAGGATTCCAGGAGATGGAGTTCAATTGCCGAAAGGTCTGCGAAGCAATCGGAAGAAATTTCTCCACGCGGGCCATCCGCGACCGGCTCGACCTGCTGCTGGCACAGTTTAATAACCCGGTTTCCCGGTAACTTTTCGTAACGCGAGATAAAAGCGGTGGCAGCACCCGAAGCGGGATGGCCGAACGAGTCGAGGCCGATCCAAGGTCAGAAGAAAATGGCGGAAGAGAAGGCTCCCGCGCGCGTTCGCTTCTCGATCGACGATGACATTTATGTGCTACGCGAAGTGTACGCCACTAACCCATTCCAGGATTCCAGGAGATGGAGTTCAATTGCCGAAAGGGTCTGCGAAGCAATCGGAAGAAATTTCTCCACGCGGGCCATCCGCGACCGGCTCGACCTGCTGCTGGCACAGTTTAATAACCCGGTTTCCCGGTAACTTTTCGTAACGCGAGATAAAAGCGGTGGCAGCATATTTCAGACTTGTTCCTATCTCAGATACTCTACTCAAGATACTGTAAGTACTTTTTGGAGTATGTATCTTGGTATCTTTCAAATACCTTTGATGGAGAGTACGTAATACTCTATTTTAATTACAATTCCGAGTATCTCTTGCTCATTATCTTAAATACATTTTTGACATTCCGCCATTTTCCGAGTTTTTCGGTATGCAGTGGGGTGGGCGTGGCACTAGCAAACGTGAACATTGTTTCGAGCAACCGAATCCTGTTGCTAGCTCCGATTAGCTACGGCGACTTTAACTGAGCTCGTGAAAATATCGCTTTTTTGCCGACTGTGACTCATATTTCAGCCCAAAGTTGGTACAATGAAGGTTCTCCCCTCGCCTTCCCAAGGGCGCCTTTTGTTTCTATAGAGCTCCCCCCCCCCCCCCCCCCCCCCGCCCCAAACCGGGAAACGACCGACGAGAACAATGAAGGCTGCGGTACCACGGCGGCCATCTTGAACAAAACATTAGTTGAACCACCAGGGCGGCGTTGGCTGTCCGTGTGAGCTAGAGTGCCTTCATACACACGCGCGCTTTTGCTTGAGTGGTGACATCTCAGCCATTTTTCCGCCCAGTCGTTTTTTTATGCATTTTGAAGTGCGCGCAATCCGGTGTCAGTCAGCTCGAGCGCGTAGCTTTGGCTAACGTATAGACGCCATTTTACCGCCCAAGTCACGCACCGAGCGCTCGAGAGCGTCGCGCGCTGACACATCCAGGGCAACAATGGATGTCTTCACCCTGAGACAGACAGACATGTAGGCACCCTAGTGTGAGCAAATGCTGCAAAACCTGCGCGCCAATTTCGAAACCCTTTTTCCCGTCGCTTGCGACCTTGAGTTTGCTTCTCCACTCTTACGCCCCTCCTTTCACGTGTTCACCCTCTGGCGCGTCGCGCCCACGTTCATTGTTGGGAGGAGAATGTACCGGATAATCCCCAACTTGAGGCCTCCTGCCAAAATTGTCCGCCTGCCAAGTGATTTGAGCCAGATGGGGTTTTGAAGCGGTATGGAAAAGGGGAACAGGCCCACTCGTCAGAGTCGTCACAGCCAAGTCGTCATAGGAAAACTGGTCATAGGTGAACTGGTCAAAGAGGGCATCTCATTCTAGGTGAACTCGTGGTAGGGAAAGTGGTCGCAGTGCCCTTCTCGTTCTTGGAAAGTTCGTCACAGACTTTTTTTAGGGGGGAGGGGAAGGGGGGGGGGGGGGGGGGCTCATTTTGGAAAGTGGTCGCATCGAACTTGCCGCAGTTTCAAACTTGGCCTCTCCTATTGCTTGTTGGCAGGGGGCGGTTGTGGTCGGCTTTTCGGTATTATGTTTGCTTACGACGCCCCTTTGTTATTAAACCCTTTTTGGAAGCTTTGCAGGTCGGAACTCATTGTGCAATGACAAAACAGGGGTGCGATGC